GTATTTTGCAATTATGTACCGTACATGCCCCTTAAGTAGAGTATATTTATTAACTGTTTACAATATTTGTGGTATATAATGTAGCCATGAATGCATGACCACATGACCCCACAAGATGAACTCCAATGGCTTCTAAATAAGACAATGGATGAAAAGTTCACGAATATTGAGCTTTATATATGATTCGGGTTAAATACAATAATTATTAACCTAGCTTTATATAAAATGTACATACATGTTCTAATAATTGTATTTTGCTTCATACAATGCATATGTGTCAATGTGTGTGAAAACATTACATTATTCAGCTCACTCCCCTTGGGGCTTTTCAGTCACCGCTTACATCAAGTATTAGGGTTACTTTTGTTAGTCTAGACTATATATCTTTATAACAATGAGAATATGATATCACTTTTCTAACTGTGTTTATTCTAACCCACCCTGCCATATTTTGCCTTGTGGGAGGAAACCGGAGCAAAATATAAAATTCAATTACTTTGAAAACACAGGTCTAAAATGCAATTGCTAAAATTTAGAATTTTTTTTTAAATCGCCTAAAATCGCATTAAATCGCAGTGCTTGAAAGTCCCAGTTTTTCCTTAAATCGCCTAAAATCGCCCAAAATCGCATTATATCGCAGCGATTTAAGGTGATTTACCGCCCCAGAGTAGACCTATTGATTTGGAGGAAGATTTGTTTAACATGCGAAAGTGCGTGGTGCTATGATAGTCTGCTATTAATGGACCCAGACAAGAAAAAATTGATGATTTACGCGGAAACCGCCAAATGCTCGCGAAGCTGTTCCTGCATGAATATATCCCTTCGATAGTATCATCCAGCAAATCACGTCTCTGTCAGATAAATGTAGCTGAACATGCGTTCAGTAAAAGCCTACTTATAACTGTGATAAGTTCCTTAGTTTTCAGCAAGCTGTATAATTGCTCTTCGCTCTCGTCAGCTACTTCCTGATGCAAACTAGGCCGACTTCAAGGAGTTCAGAATTTTGTGGCGCGAGTTGTGAGCAATTCCAGAAAATTGAACCATATCACCCCAATTCTAAAGGTGAGACATTGGCGTTCAAATATATGAACAACCAGAGGTGAAGCGAGTTGGCGGGAAACAAAAGTGAATGGTAAAAAAGTGGAAGTGTCTTTGTACAAAACCGCCGTTGGACAAAGAAATCCCACTGCAGAAGTATATCACTCTCTGGAATAACATTAACCCAGATCTAAAATTATGAAACACTTTCCCGAACTTTCAAATAAAACAAAAACACAAACTACTTCAACCATTAGATAAACTTGAAGACGTAGCGTCATCACTGAGGCAAGAAAATCCTCCTACTCCCTCAATTGGACAGGTTAAGACTGCCTTGTAACAACAAAACTCTAAAAAAGCCACCGGGTCCGACGGGATTCCGGCATGGGTGCTTAAACGATACTGTGAAGAACTAGCGCCCATCGTTCATGACATTATTTGCGCCAGTATAAAAGAATGTGAATATCCAACTGCATATAAACATGCCTTAGTTATCCCAGTTCCGAAGGTCAATCCACCAAGAGATATCGAGAAAGACTTTCGCCAGATATCCATTCTTCCCCAAATGGCTAAAGTGCTGGAAAAGATGCAGCTCAAACTGAACCTTCCCAGTTCACGTATAAATGATAATCTGCATGGCTTTACAAGCAAACGGTCAACCGTGTCCGCACTCACCAACATCTCGCAGAACTGGTTTAATGTGACCGACAATACGCATAGCGCCAAAAATGGAGTTCATGCACTATTCATAGATTTTCCCAAAGCGTTTGACCTTGTTGACCATGGAATTCTACTTCGTAAGCTCGCAGAAATGAATGTAACCAAAGCCTTTTGGCTATGGACACGTAGTTTTCTGGAAGATAGAAGACAACAGGTCAAACTAGCAGGAACCCTGTCATCGGTCAAACCTTGTCCTGCAGGAGTCTCACAAGGTTCTGTGATGTCCCCAGCTCTTTTTAATATTCACATTAACGATATTGAGAACTCAATCCCAGATGGATTATCCATAAATATATACAAATACGCGGATGATTGTACACAGGACGAAGTGGTGTCACAAGGTTCATCCAGCCATATGCAGGAGGCCCTTGAAGCAGTACAAGAATGGTCTAATAGGAACAAAATGACGATAAATTCGAAGAAAACAAAAGATATGTGGATATGTTTTAACACAGCAATACCGGCACCAGAACCATTGGTCATTGGAAACAAGGTAGGGGAAAGAGTAAATTCTCATAAACTGTTGGGAGTCAGGCGTCAAAACAATTTGAAATGGAACTGTCATGTCAAGAACATTGTAAGTTAAGCAAATAAACGAATGTTTAGTCTGAGAGAATGCCGTAGAGCTAATCTTCCTCCTGAGGTCGGTATTACATGTTATGAATCCAAGATTAGACCTGTTTTAGAATATGCAGCTCCGATATGGGGTGGTTTACTACAATATCTCATCGATGAAATAGAGAGCATTCAAAACAGATGCATCATCCTCGGCACATCTCGGTGCAACTTTGAAACGCTAGAACAAAGAAGGGCACACCTAACTGTTCAGGAATACCAAAGAATTCTAAGTGATCCAACCAACCCATGTAATAATCTTATCCCCCAACCTTTTACCCATGAACACGATCTAAGAACAACAAATAATCTACCATATGTTGTATCGTATAGTAAAAGACACTAGCAATCCTTTATACCTAGAGCTATATCCCTTTTAAAACAGTCCTAAATTAATTTTATAGAATATATAACTAGTATAAACATTTTTAGCAACATTGATGTACATAATAGTAAAATTTCTTCTTATCAATTTTAACCTTAGCACTTCTTGTAAATCCATTGTACTTTTCTAACCGAAGATGGATATTAAATGTTATTATTATTATTAATCTGCAAATGAAGGAGTTGGTGTGTATGTGTAGGTTATATAGGTTTCGCTCTTGTTGTCGCCGTTGTTGATGTTGTTGTCAGGGATGTTGCTGTTATTGTACGTACGTAATTTTGTTTTAATATATTATACCAGAAAATACATGCATGCAGAAACCCTCGCCTTGCTGACAAAAACCATTGTATTTTCCGAACATGAAGTATCTAAAGTTGTTGTCATGGTAACACGATAATTTTTAAAGAATATTCTTACAAATAAAAAATCGCCTAAAAATATCACTTTTAATTACAAAATTATCAATTTCCCAACATATATATGTTAAGTATGTTATTATCCCCGAGCCGACGGCGCGAAGCGCCGTGCAAGGGTACTAATCCGCCCCCCGGCTATTTACACCCGGGGAAACGAAAGCATTAGCGGAGTCTAAAGTTCATCAATTATCGCGGGCGTGGGTCACCAACGGTGTTGGGTGGGTGGTCATCCTCACTGATCTCAAAAATATGGTGGACTATCACGAATAGCGGACACTGATTGGTCCAATTTAAAGTTTGCATTATAACGACTGCATGACGACAGCGAAATAGCAAACATTTCTTGATTTGATGATTGATAAATTTCTTGCAAATATATTTCATTTTGCTCGCATATTTGAAAGATTTTGTAAATTTCAAAAGCTCTCTGAGAAAGAAACTGCGAAAGAATCGGCTAAAAGAAGGGAGCCGACGTTAACGAAGGTAAGTTTGTTTTAAATATTGATTTTATAATGGATTTAAAACCCGACGGCCTTTGCATATATGAAACAACTAAACAAAACAGCATATAATTTCAGTGTATCGTTAATATTGATTCCTTTCTTATGATATTGAATTTTTTAAATAAAACTGAAAGAAAGCAAAGTTATTTGCAAACTCAAAGTTTATCGATAAAGCCATTTTAAAAGGCAGTTTAGTTTTATAACACTATAGTGATTTTGAAAACGTTTTGCGAAGCGTTTGTAGTTGAATTTTACCTTAAATTGAGGCTTATATTACGTATAAAAACATACCTAACATATATATGCTGGGAAATTAATAATTTTGTAATTAAAAGTGATATTTTTAGGCGATTTTTCTTTGTAAGAATATTCTTAAAAAATTATCCTGTTACAATGACAACTACTGTAGATACTTCATGTTCGGAAAATACAATGGTTTTGTCAGCAAGGCGAGGGTTTCTGCATGCATGTATTTTGTAGTATGTAATATAAGCTTCATTTTAAGGTAAAATTCAACCACAAAAGGCTTCGCAAAACGTTTTAAATTAAAGTGTTCTTTATAAAACTAAACTGCCTTTAATTAAATGGCTTTATCGATAAACTTTGGGTTTGCAATAAAATGATTTCAAATTCTCGCATCCAAATAACTTTGCTTTCAGTTTTTTTATTTAAAAAGTTCAATATAATAAAAAAGGGAATCAATATTTATAATACACTGAAATTATATGCTGTCTTGTTTAGTTGTTTCATATACGCCAAAGGGCCAAAGGCCGTCGGCTTTTAAAGCAATTATAAAAACAATATTTAAAACAAACTTACCTTCGTTAACGTCGGCTCCCTTCTTTTAGCCGATTCTTTCGCCCGAGAAAGCTTTTGAAATTTACAAAATCTTGCAAAAATGCGAGCAAAAATGAAATATATTTGCAAGAAATTTATCAATCATCAAATCAAGAAATGTTTGCTATTTCGCTGTCGTCATGCAGTCGTTATAATGCAAACTTTAAATTGGACCAATCAGTGTCCGCTATTCACGAAAGTCCGCCATATTTTTGAGATCAGTGAGGATGACCACCCACCGAGCCACTCACGGTAACCAACGCCCGCGCTCATTGATGAACTTTAGACTTGGCTAATGCTTTCCTTTCCCCGGGTATAAATAGCCGGGGGGAATTAGTACCCTCGCGCCGTCGGCTCGGGGATAAATTAATTAGGATTTAATGTAAGAATAATGTAGCAATTTATATGTTGCAATTTTGTAACTGAAAAATCTCTTCCGGGGAATGTCAATAAAGTCAATAGTATATGGTCCAAAAAGCATATTACCTTATCTACAGCAGTTTTCATAACCAAGGTCCATCCTCCTCCTTGACATTCTGCATTATCCAGTGGTTCCATACGACAATAAACTGAATATTTCTCAGATTGGTCATCAAGTTTTAACTCGTAACGCTCACTTGGCAACGAACTGTATAAATAAACAATTGCATGTACATATATCAGTACGTAACAGCAAGAACATAATAGCGGTAGTTAGGAAATGACATTTGCATGATCGATATTTTAACTTTCACTGATAAAAAGTAATTTAGTCATCACTAGAATTTGAATTGAGCTGACCGAATTCCAGATAATGACTGAAATACAGTCATAAAAAAGTCTGTCCATTTAGCACTGTTTTGTAGTTTTTAAAGTTCTTGACACGGATGGGATGAACTACAGTACAAGCATTATGAAAGCAATAAGATAGCGGCCCATGCAAATTAGAGAATGAGTAAATTAACATTTCATAAGTTTAGTACATATACTAAATACAAAACAAGTGAAACTCCGAAGATCAATAACATTTTTATTTATCTACGTTTCGATTATATTTCAGTCATCATCAGGATAAACTAGCTAGAACTCTGTATGATTCATATAATTCACAGATTCTGTGTGATTCATATCACACAGAATCTGGAATCCATCAACACCTCTCTACTTGTGAACAATTTCAGCATATTAAAGCCATTTTAGAACTATATCCTGATGTCGATGACGCAAAGTCTAATCAAACCAGCATAATGGCTGAACATGTTTTCCATAACACTAAAATAATTGATAAATCAAACCATTGGTCCCTTTTGCTGTATCAGGAATCCCTCGCTATTCAAAAATAGGCTATAAACCTGAACTTAATCAGCGAATTAAGACTTCTAAAGAACTAATCGTATTTAATTAATTCGTTAATAATCAACCTAATGTATCATATATATATTCATATATAAATACTGCTTTTGATGTATAACCTACAGCTAGTTTATCCTGATGAAGACTGAAATATAGTCGAAACGTAGATAAATAAAAATGTTATCGATCTTTGGAGTTTCACTTGTTTTGTATTTTGTTAAAATACTCAGTGGTTCTAAAAATAATACATACTGCATGCATATCATTGATAAGAATCAATGCAAACAATTACATCCTCACAGATAAGTATCGCTGCGTTCTATGGCAGTTAAGCCTGGTTCGTACTAGCAATTGTCGGCGATTTTTCTCCTCCTGGAAAATGTGATCGAATGAATACATGCAAAAAAACATTGTCATTGTTTACTTCTGAAAAGCGACATTATACTTTTATATTCGAGTTCACTCATTGCTACTGTGAGCGAGGCTTTAAAGATAAGGATCGATGCTTTGCAGTAAACAGGGATCTAAGGGTACGAAGATACTACCAGTACCCGTAAATCGGGGAATGACTTGTAACTTAAGAAAACCTTTTTCTCTTTAAACAGCCCACAAAAAGTAAACAGGAAACACCAGTGCCCGTTTGTCTTTAACATGTAGACCATGTTTTACCGCGGGAAAACGAGTAGAAATTATGAGTAAACATCAGCAAAAATATAATTGGTAAACAAAATTACTACGTACCTGTAAACAGCGGAATTAAGCAAACCGTGTATCTTAACCTTTCTTATAATTCGATCTTGCACAACGGTCTTAATTGTTTTGATTGAATTGCTTTTCTACAACCAACGTGCCGTTTTCCTTAGCTTACGCCTCAAGATAGTCTACGCAAAGGACTAAAAATATACCTGTTGTGATTAAACATTTCTTTACAAGATTTGTACATCTTTGAACTTGGTGCAGCTGTAGTATCTGAAGCTTAAAAAAACAGATAAATGTAGTATATATGAATTCTAATATAAACAACCTCTGCATAATAACATACAAGCCGAATATATAACATTCTTTTTTTCCTTCTTAAGCCTGTTTTCCACTAGGCGGAATTTTGCGCGCGGAGCGGAATTTTTCTTTATCTTGTGATTTCTCGGGTAGAACTAATTAGAAAAGACAAAGAAAAATTCGCTCCGCGCGCAAAATCCCATCTAGAGGAAAACAGGCTTTATAGAGGTCGTAGTTTTGTGGTCGTCAGATTTGACAGTCAGAAAGCAACCTTCAATTGACTTAGCTTTATAATAAATCTGAGATTCAATTTTCTTTCATTTCACTGGGAAAGATTGTGTCAAGTGAAAGTCAATACATTTGACTTTCTGTTGACTGTAACTGTTGACTGTAACAATACTCAGCAACTGGACTCCGTAGCTCAGTCACGAAAGTCATGCAGTTTGAGCGCTGCACCGGAATCACCGAAACGCAGGTTCATGCAGTTTCTGCCACAGGTCCTATATATAGTGGCATTTTTGAAATGGACGACTTGCGCTTTAGACTAAATTTTAATCTAAGTAAGAACAGCGAAATCTATCACAACAGCTAGAAAGAGCGTGTTGGAATTAGTAATATTACAAAGTTTGTTTGCAAATGTTGTAAAATACGGAAATTATAGCCTTTCAAAGTTGGCAAATTTGTATACTTTTGTATTACGTGCGTGCAGAATTGGTAACTAAATTAGTTACCAATTTCCGCACGTAATAGAAATGCAGGGCTATATTTTCCGTATTTTACAACATTTCGCAACCAAACTTTGCAGTTTTTCTAATTTTGATAACTTCTTTGCGAAAATAGCCTTTGTTATTTCCAGATTAAAAATTTTTCAAAAACACAAGTCGTCCATTAACCCTCCTTCATTAATCTAAAATGCTGATAAATTTATTTCGAAAATTCTTTCGACAAAAAAATAATGTAGTATAAGATAACAAAGGCCTAGTACTAGAAATAATGTAGTATAAGATAATATACTACTATATGCGAATACTGCATCAATTTGCTCAATGTATGTGGTGGGTTGCTCAGTATATATAGGTGACAAAATTAATTTACCAAATACTTGTATATTGCACATAAAAGAAAAATCCCTAGTCAGTTTAAATCCCACTTTCCACTAGGGAAATTTGTTCCTGCGATCAGTAAAACAGTAGGAACTGAATGAACTTTTTCACGGCGAATTTTTTCGCCGACCAATCACATTACCAAGAGTTTTTTCGCTTGTCTTCGCGCGAAGTAAATATCGTCCACTGGAAAATGTGCTTAACACAAATTACCATTGAAGAACAGCTCATTAATTGGAATGTAACCATTATTGCAGTATATTTGGAGAACAAATTTGGGTGGTTTACAATCAATCTCACGTAATTTATTTCGCCCAAAATATGCATTGCCGTCATGCGTGATGGAGAAACCACAATTTGGGTACAATATATAGCTGCTAATGACAGAGTAAAGCCTGCGACAGGCATACAGGATTTTTTTATCTAGATGGGAGGCAATAAAAGAAACAGAGTGCGGTATGATTTGCCGTTTCAATTTCAAGCCTTCCTGCATTGCTTTCGTTTAATAGTATCCTTAAATTAAACAAGGTATAGTAATCAGTATATCGCCAGATTAAATCATGACTGGTATGACTTGTTCGCGCAAAACACCAACTTGAACGGTGCATACGAAGTTGTGCAATAGTACATTGGATAGTATATTACCTTGATTACAAGAGGGAAATATATATGACAATAATGTTTCATTATGCGCGAAGAAATATAATGAATATCCTAAAACAATTGAAGTTGTGTTTCTTTCTTAAAATAGTGGTTATATACGGTAGACATATAGTTTACTTCATGCTTATAGAGCGTTTGCACTCATTCTCCAGGGATCAACCCAACAAAAGCCATGGCGGCCATGTTGGTGTTCCAAACAAAAGAGTTGAATTAAAATGCTTTTGAATTAGAACACCAACATGGCGGGGTGTGTGACGTCATGTGCACACACTCTATTGAGATAAGAATGATATGAAATTATGCGTGAAATGCTAATATGGCAAAAAGTCCACGTACATGTAAAATTCGTGTGTCGAAAATACCACTGTAAAATAATATGTAGTACAAAATTAATTGTGTTGCATTTTGATAGTTCAAAAAAGTGACGAAGCAATTTCGACACTGTCTTGTTCTCGATGAATTCAAATCGAGTTTCAAACGCACGAATGCGGAAGTTATCTCTAATTAATGTGGCTTCATTTTAAAAAACGCTGTACTCCACACGGAAGTAAAATTTTAGTTTTCGCTTTAAATTCACAGCACTTTAATATTTTCACATTCACAAATTTTTTTACCAGAATCATCCATTAAATATCCATTTAAAAACACCCAATTTTTTGACATGAAATTTATATACAAGAAAAGTAGTACACTATAGAAAAGCAGTACGTGGTTTTGCTTCCAGCTCAATTCGTTTTCAATGAAAGTGAACGCTTAATTTCCTTTTAGTTTTCCTGCCTTATATGTAACTCTTCAGAATTGATTGGATTTGTCCAATCACATTTTCTATGGGTGCCACTGGAAGCCCTGCGTTTGTATGTTCATGCCCGAAACAGTGGCGTTGTATTTTGGATATTGTATTAACGAGGTCCAATTATTTCAGTTCCGGGCTTTAGAAGCCATTGACGTAAACAAGAGTAGGTTATTAAAAACATCACAGAAGGCTAAATTTCAAAAAAGCGTAACCGTGAGGAAAGTGTGCATGTGCGAACATTTACATCTATACACACCTAACGTTTTGTTTCCAGAATCAGAGATACCTTCAAAACTGTTCTCTATTTTTTGTTGCACGCACTTTTCGTTGTAATCCTAGAGACAAAAGAATTGTTCCAATATTAGTTTTTTTTTAAATGCTGATATTTGGTTCCAGGGGAGAAAAATGTATCCCTGTACTAAGATGGTAACGTAAACAACGCGCTTGCTTAGTAACCGTGCACTATTTTACTGACAACATACAACCCGGATTAGCAGAATAGAATTCTGTAATGCAATATTTTTATATATACTTTTTGGCATTTCAGATTTGTTTTATTTTTCATTCCAATACAACCTACAAGATGCAGTAGGTCAAAAGAACATAATAGTGTTCTTTAAGGCTCGATAAGAGAGTAGTTGTGGTCTGATAAGACCACCCGCTTTATGGTCGTTTTGTCCCCAACACGGACGTCATTGCGATCTTAAGCTCACTAATGGCAGTCATTTTGTCATTGGTCTAGTTTTCCTCAGACTCAGTTCCAATTAAAATAAAGTAAAGCCAAGTCTCACTATATAATAGTCACTGAAAACAGCAATATTAATGTTGTGAAATAAAAGCAAAATATTTAAGTTACATTTCAAAGTTTCGGAATTTAAATACAAAAATGGTAATTTTTACGAGTACAAATTATTGTTAATGGACGATACTCAATGCGCTAGACCTAAAAATTATAGATTAAAATGTCTATGTTAAGCCAACTCGAAAGCTACTATTGTCTAAACAAAGGAAGACTCTATCACAGACTTTCATTATTTGCTTGCCAAACCCGTAGGCTACTGCACCCATGCAGTATCGTTTATTAATTATTGTCCAAACAACTATGTTTGACCTATTCATAACTATAACAATGAAACTATAGTTAAACATGGGCAGATATCCGAGTTAGCTTTATCTGCCTAATCATTCTTACTTGGATTGCGAGCTGTAAAGACTAATTTAAAGAGTCATTTAAAAAATTAATCGTTTCACGTTTATCATTTCTAAACGTCCACCAAAAATAATGCCAAGAGTTAGCAAACCACGATCACGAGTTCGTCAGCAGGATCAACGACCATCCAGTATTCAACCGTCCGTCGAAGTACCGAGCAATTTGGGCGAGTTATCAATTTTAGAGTTGAAGAACCTTTGCCGCGAACTCAACTTTTCCTGCGCTGGCGGCCGACGGGTACTTACAACGCGTCTACAAAACGAAAGAGAACGTCTAAACACGAATACGCCGCAATCCAACATTCAAACCGTTCCAGTAAACAACACGTTATCTAATTCCAACGCAAGGGAAAGCTTCAGCGCCGACCAACTGGCACAGATCACGCAGATTGTTTCGCAGTCGATTTCGTCTTTCTTCGAAAGCCAACACGCCACAACAACCGCGACTCGTGTAGATGAGCAGCCAACTATCCCGCCACCGCCAACGCCACTCGAAAGGCTAGAACAGCTTGGTCAATTTCCATTTTTAAGTTCCAGCGAGCTCCAGCAGCAGCCGACTTCATCCCATGGACCTGTTGCCTCAATCCAGCAAGCAGATGGGGGATTCACGCCAGAGATTCCAAACAAATACGTTCGTGACATCGAAAGTGGTGAGTTTTTTGAGCTTGCTAAATTATTGCCAAAAAATTTAAATAAGTTAAATGTTGGTTCCGATTCTTCTGACAACGTGGGTTTCACAATTTCCTCTACGGGAATCTCATTAACACCGCGCAAGCCTCAAGTGCTGACTAACATTGAAGAGTGGACAACCGCTTTCAACACGTATATGTTAATCATAGTGCAAAAATTTCCAAATCGTGCATCGGAACTTTTACAGTACATGGAAACCATCCGTCATGCGGCAAAAACGCATGGCGGTTTAGGCTGGTGCATATATGATCATAAATTTCGCTATAAAGCCGCCGCGTGTCGAACATTGTCGTGGGCCAACATTGACATGCAGTTATGGTTGCGTATTTTCACCGCTAGCTCTACTCAGTTGCGGGAAGATTATTCCTTTTTTTCTAACGGACCCTCAAACAAAGCTGGGGCAGCGAGGGACGGAATTTGCCACAGCTACAACAGGGGTAGACCTTGCCCATTACGACCCAATTGCCCTTACACTCACCGATGTAACCGAATTGGCTGTGGGGGGAACCATCCTGGGTACCAATGTCCACAATCCCGTGGGGAAAACGATCACAACGACGACCACCCTTCACAATCCGCCCGTAGCTCCGCGAAGACCAACAGAAAATAGAACTGTTAGTTTAAAGTGTAGTATATATAATAGCAGTAATTCAATACCTTTAGATAATACTATAGTTACGCCAATTCGCGTTGACGCGCTTGAAGGTGCTCTTTGTGGGCATCCCAATTCATCATTCGTTTTGAAACTCTGTTCAGACTTGCGTTTCGGTGCTCGTTTCGGTTACGATGGTCCTCGCATGTCAAAATTTTCGAAAAACCTCAAGTCTGCCATTGACAATCCAACTATTGTTTCAACTAACTTAGCTAAGGAAGTTGCTCTTGGCCACACAGCTGCAGGTCCTTTCACCAATCCGCCATTTGCTAATTTACAGGTTTCGCCAATTGGCATTGTACCTAAAAAGCATTCAGATAAATTTCGAACCATTTTTCACCTCTCGTTTCCAAAAACGGGAGAATCAATCAATTCCTTTATCGAGAAAGACGACTTTTCATTGCAGTACATAAAAATCGACGACGCAATTGCGGCTTTGATCCGATTAGGCAGAGGCACTTATCTAGCTAAAACTGACATAGAATCTGCTTTTCGTCAATTCCCTGTTCATCCTGACGACTGGGAGTTATTAGGCATATATTGGAACAAGTCCTATTATTTTGACAAAGTGTTGCCATTTGGTCTGCGTAGTGCGCCGTATATTTTCAATCAACTTTTGGATGCACTTGAATGGATTTTACTCAACAAGTGTTTTATAAGCTATGTTGGGCACATTCTAGACGATTTTCTCATCATGGAACCACCGGCCCAAACTGGGCTACCTTCTCAAGCATGCCAAACTAGCCTTTCTAGCATGTTGTTAACATTCCGCACGTTAGGTGTTCCTATTGCTGAGCATAAAACTGAAGGACCCAGTCTCATTATAGAATTTCTAGGCATTATCATTGACTCACAAAAGATGGAGGCTCGTCTTCCATCCGATAAATTGAACCGTCTATTTGTTGATTTAAATTCGTGGCACACAAAAAAGTCAGCTACACTCCAAGAGCTCCAATCACTAATTGGCACATTAAATTTTGCATGCAAAGTAATTGCCCCGGGTCGAGCTTTTCTGCAACGTATCATAAATCTAACACGGGGTGTCTCCAAACCACATCATCACATTCGCTTGACGAATGGTTTTCGCGAAGACGTAAAAATGTGGCAACTTTTTCTTAAAGACTGGAATGGGACAAGTCTATTTCTCAACTCTTTCTGGGAAAATTCTACAAACCTTTCTCTCTATACGGATGCCTCCGGGACCCTTGGTTTTGGGGGAATTTTTCGCAACCAGTGGTTTCAGGGTAAATGGTTGCCTCACCAAACACTTACCACAAAAAATATCAGCATTGATTGGCAAGAGCTTTATGCTATTGTGGTAGCCTCCTACATATGGGCACCTTTATGGGCTCAAAAACGAATTGTGTTTTACTGCGATAACCAGGCAGTGGTTTCCATAATCAATTCCAAACGTTCAAAAAGCCCTCGTATTATGGACTTAGTGCGTCCTTTAACCTTACAAACACTGAAATATAACTTTTATTTCAAAGCCTTACATGTGCCTGGTCATTATAATGACATTGCTGATTCTATCTTCCGTTTTCAGCAAACCAGATTTCGGCGGCTAGCACCGCATGCAGACCATCAACCTCAACCTCTACCAGAGGAACTTTCTCGTCTCTAGACGCTGACTTACGTCGTTATCAACTTGCTTCGTTAGCTAAAGGTACGATTAAAACTTATAGCAGTGGCGAAAAACAGTTCACGAATTTCTACTATCAATTCCATTTACATAAGTA